GGGGGGTTACAGTATGTCCCCGTTTTAACCCATAATATGATATTTTGCAGTTAGGTTTAAAACTTTCTTGAAAATAATTGACTTGCGACAGTTTTAGTGGCTATATGTAGGATCTGCAGCAAATAATACGCAGTTTGACGCCCAAAGCAGTGCATCTGCGAGCGGGAGTGCATCAACGAATAGTTCCTGGGCGCTCGTCGGAGACGTCTCCGAATATCTTCTGCCTCGTCAGCCTGGGTGGGATCAATAAAGGGAAGGAAGCGATAAATTGCCCAGCCTGGTGATTACATGGGAAGGCGAACAAAACCTTACCTCCCCTTGGTAAAATCGACAACTGCTTAAGTTTAGTAAGTGTTTTACGGCACTTGCAAGACAATAAGGTCATATAAATCTGACAACTGAATGAACAAAGAAGTTTAACCAAAATGGGTGAAATGGAATAGGTTTAACGCCCCTATCAACACTGTTAGGGGCCCTTTAAACGTACAGGTCATTCATCGACAAACTGTAGGATGTCGAAAGAATGGCTGGGATCCTGTCAACTTCGCTGTTAAACTGAGCGTAGAAACGAGCAATCCTCTCGATATCGAAGGGTTTAGCCACCAGATATCTGCCAGATATTGGCCGGCCCGCCAAATTTTCCTAAACATTGACCAAATTGTAAAAATAATAAGATTTTCGTGATCAGCGACCCAAAATTTGTTAAAATCACGCGGAGAACGCAATTTAATATCGCATTACCAAGTAAATTCTTTTCGTGTGACTGACACTTCAAGGATAAAAAAACCCGGTACATCTAAACTCTAAACGGAACTTCTCTCTTCGACAAACGGTCAGTTTTTCAGTGGATGAACTGCACGTGTAAAGGGGTCTTTAGGTTATTTAAGAGGCAGGACCCTCGAGTTTAAATGTCCATCTCCAAAAGGTCCGAGCCAAGTGAGAAATTCGAGTAAAGTGCCTTTCCCAAGGACACAACGTCGGACCTAGCTGGGGCTCGAACCTTCGAACCACACAAAGGTGGACAGACTACAGTTGATTCTAGTAAAGAAAAGCACATCCACACGACAATGATCATTTTAGTGCTAGAAAAAAGAGTGTGTGTGTGGGGGGGGGGGAGAGAGAGAGAGAGAGAGAGAGAGAGAGAGAGAGAGGGGGGGGGGGGGAGAGACATACAGAAACACCAAAGGGGAAGTAAAGAGGCGGCGCCCTCCAACGACAACAGGTGGACAAATTTATTTTTTGTTCATACGAGTTTTACGGCACTTGCGACACAATAAAGTCATATAAGTTCCGAAGATTAAAGGTGTTACAAGGAGAAAACCACACCAGAGCACCCGCCAACCATCATTATTCGAATTTTGATTTTTTTTTTTTTTTACAAAAAAAACAAAAACCCAACAACAATGTAGGTATTTTACGTCCCCAAAGGCAAAATTTTGATCATTTTGGACACGAGCTTCCGACCTTGCCTATGAGGGCCAACTCCAGGCTGAGGAGGGTACGACGTTCACCCAAGAAAGACCGAAATACACAATGCACTCATGAAAAATTCTCCCCACTCGGGAATCGAACTCGAGTCTCCAGAGGGCCACAGCCAAGCACCTACCCGTTACACCAAAGACGCCAGGTCGCACCCTGGCGGCTGCCCAATTTTTGTTTTAGCTAGAGTTTTGCGGCACTTGCAACACAATAAGGTCATATAAGAGCCGAAGATTAGAGGTGTTAAAAGAGAGTAACAAACATAAAAAAGGAGGAGAGATAAAGACGATAGTAGTTTGATAGGAAAGAAGGGGCAAACCACACCAGAGCACCCGCCAACCTCCCAATTTTGAACTAATTCCGCCACGAACACGAATGACTTTATTTGGTATCCCGAGGAATGAAGAAGCACGGTCTCCAAAATAACCCGGGCTGTATCAAGAAAGGAATTTACATTCGATATCGAAGAAAAAACTAGATAATCCCTTATGCCCATGCACGATAAATCCTTTCTACGAGTAATTGGTTGCTTATACGGACAAGCGGACTAAACCAGATTTCGGGGGTTTCCACAAATCTTGACCTACACCAAAAGTGGGCATTGCCCTACCCTATAGGAGAAGTTTGATTTCATTAGTGTGTATTTGTTTGGTTATGGAGAAAAGTCTCCTAGTCTTTTAACGAAACTGAACAAAGAGCCTAAACTTTACCTTCGATTTTTTCAAAACAGCAATTTTTCGGGATAGCCCGTTTGTGCGTAAAAGCGACCAAAGACGAGCAAAGTATGGGCGCAGGGGGTTCTCGGCTCCCTCTCAGCCATAAAAGGAGCTTCACAATATAAAAACTGACACAAAACACATATTCAAAACGAGTAAATCAGTTCAGTCTTAGCTGGAGTTTACGGCTTTTACGACACAATAAGTTCACATAATTACCGAGCATTACGAGTGTTACAAGACAGTAGATTAGACAAAAAACGAAGGAGGAGAGATAAGAACAAAAGACGGATTTTTAAAAATATTTTAGTAGAGGTTTCATGGCACTCGCAACACAATATGGACATATGAGCGCCAGAAGATTAGAGGTGTTACAAGAGAGTAACAAACATAAAAAAGAAAACGGGGAGATAAGGACGATAGATGTTTGACAGGAGAAAAGGAGCAAACCACACTAGAGCACCCGCCAACAACCCGCTAGAACTAGAATAGGCAAAAAAGGGAAGGGGAGGAGATAAGAACAAAAGATGTTTGACAGGAGAAAAGGAGCAAACCACACCAGAGCACCCGCCAACAACCCGCTAGAACTAGAATAGGCAAAAAAAGGAAGGGGAGGAGATAAGAACAAAAGATGTTTGACAGGAAAGAAGGAGCAAACCACACTAGAGCACCCGCCAACAACCCGCTAGAACTAGAATCGGCAAAAAAAGGAAGGGGAGGAGATATGAACAAAAGATGTTTGACAGGAAAGAAGGAGCAAACCACACTAGAGCACCCGCCAACAACCCGCTAGAACTA